ATCTTGACACGCTATGTTTTGCCTCCAGTTACCTGATTTTAGATTTAATAACAACAATATCTTTAAATTGGTGTGGCCTTTGCAAATCAGGCGTGAAACAGGTGAACTTTCAATTGCCGAATGAAGATGTTAAGGCCAATGAGGAAGAATCAGATGATGACACTTCTTCTGATGACTCTTCTGATGGCTCTGAATCTGAGGAGGTACCTCTTTTTTCTATTTACTAATGCCTCAATTCGTTGTAGAATCAAACTTAGGATGGGTGACACATTAAACTTGTAAACACTTGGACAAAAGTTATCATAAATTTCTGCGATAACAGTTAAATAGACTTTGTGTTTAGTGGCCTATTAAAAGAATACCTATTGTGTTTTATCCTGTCTCATAATTCCTTATTCCTTTATCATTAATGCTTTGTTTCAGGTGAAGGTGGTTACTACCGAAGTTGAGAATGGCGAAGATGCTGAAGATGATTCGTCTGACGATGCTGAAGATGACTCGGATGAAGATGACTCATCAGAGGAAGAAACCCCAAAGAAGGTATGCGATTGTTGATGGCAAACTTGTACTTATTTTCTCTGCCTTGTTACACTTCTTTTATGAGCAATTTCGCTTCTTTTCATGGTCAAAACTCAAACCTGATTCTAATGTTAGGCTGAAGAACCCAAGAAGAGATCTGCAGAAGCCAGCACCTCAAAGAAAGCTGTTTCCAACAAGAAGGCAAAATTCGTAACACCGCAGAAAACTGGTAACTCTACTCAATCTCCACATTGAGTTCTAGCTTTTCCTGAAGCGAATAAAAAAGATGGCTGATTGAATCTAACACATTGTGAAAACAGAGACGAAGAAACCGCATGTCCATGTCGCAACTCCACATCCATCAAAGGGAGGGAAGAACTCTGGAAGCAAGGGAGAGTCGTCAAAGAAGCAGCAGACACCGAAATCTGCGGGTACGTTTGGATGCAAGTCGTGCAACAGGACCTTCACTTCAGAAGGAGGATTGCAGTCTCACACAAAGGCAAAACACAGTGCAGCTGCTTGAAACCAGAAGAGAAGATGAAGAAGAGAGACTCTCTCCCATATGATGAAATCCCTCTTTTTAGACTTTTAATGGCTTTTGGTGTTTAAAACTAGAATTTGCGAGTGAACCAGTTTTAGCTGTCCTTTTTTTCCAGGCGTTGAATCCTTTTCTTAATCGTTTTTCGGCTAGATGAAAACTTTGCTAAAACCTTTTGTGGTTAGTGCTAATATGGATTTATATTATTAAAGTCTTTTCTAGTTCTATAACCTTAAACCCTGCATTTGAAATTCTTTGACCAAAATCTGTTGCCAAATAAGCCCAGAAAAAGGGTTGAATAAAATAAACCTAGTTACCAACTGGGGCCTTAAATAAAGGATCCAATTTTGGGCCAATTGGATTATACTTGGTGTAGTACAATAATTCTTCTATATATCTAATATTATACGGCAAACTAACAGTAAGCAGGTTTGCCCGAGTGGTTAAGGGGGAAGACTTAAGTTCTTCTGCACTCAAGTGCGCGTGGGTTCGAACCCCACAGCCTGCATCACTATCTTTTTATTTTATTTTGTAATTAAATTTATCTTCTCTATGACAGGAAGTTACTTTTAAAAAAAAAAAATTCCAAATCCATAAAATAAATTTGGTTTTAATCTAGAACGTAGTTTTCTGATTTGAAGAAATTCCAAACCAAATCATATCAAAAATCAAAATTACACTCCTTGAAGTAGAAAAAAAGGGAGAGAATTTGCCGTAAAAATAAAAGAAGAAGAGATTTGAAAGACAAAACTTCAAAAACTATAAAAGTTTCCTCGGCTCGGCTATGCAAAAAAAATTACAATGCTTTCGATTTTCTATATATATTCTCACGTTGTTAGAGCAACATCAAAATCTAAGTACGTTGCAAATTATTTTATACTATGTGATTTGGTAGACAAATCAATCTTTGTTCAAATACAATAAAAAGGGGAATCAAAAGCTTTTGTTTTTTGTGTTGCGACAAGTCAAACAATCTATTGCCTTTGAGGAATGTGAAAAATCCCTTCAAAGTACATTTTCTTCTTTACTATAAAGTATTCATATCTTCCACACTACACACACTGTAACAATCGTATCATCAATTCTCTCTATTCACACCAACAAGAATTTTAAATAGAGAAGCCAAAAAAAGAAGAAAAAAAGAAATCATCCTTTTATTCTTGAGCGTTTGGTAGCTCAAAAACTACTTGTTCCCCTTCAGGAGTTAGGCACAATTGTCCCAATTTGCCCTAATCCCGCAATGAAGAACGCGATTGCTTGCGCGAAAAGGTATATATAATAATGATTCTTCCCAAAAAACGCATCATAACATCCCACAAAGAACAGATACATTCCTACGCCAAGTTCCAACACATGAATCCTGCCAAAACAAACACAAAAACAATCATTAGAATCAAATAAAACCACAAGAAATTTAGGTCATCGGTTTAGTTTTTAAAACCAAGAAGTTTTTCCTACCTATCTCCGAATCTAAAACGAAGTTTCTTTGGAGCCTTGGTGGCTGATTTAGCCTTAAGATCTCCAAGTTTCTCAGTAACAATCCATTCATTAACTCTTCCTCCTTCTAGTAAACCGATGAAAGTAGCTTTTGTTCTGTGAAGAGACATCACATTCTCGAACAGAATCCAAAATACCATAAGATGCAGTGACCTAAAAGACACATATAACCAACAATGAGATCTCAAACAAGACTTGATCCGCAAGAAACTCTCGGATTTTTGTTTACCTCGGTGTACCGACGGCATTGAGCAGAGTAATGACGGAAGGAATGTAAACCGCTCCCCATTTCGGTACAGAAACTTCGGGTACAAGAACAGTAGCCGGTAAGATCACACAGTAGAAGATGAAGGTAACAATGTGAGCCACAAGCTTTCTAACCACAAAGAAGCTATATATCACATGAACTTTCTTCCACAAAGTCACATTCTGCG